GGCTGGGCGCTGGGCGCCAGACAGTATGGGTGACATCTGTCTCTTATACACATCTAGATGTGTATAAGAGACAGGTCATTGTCCGTGGTTGCCTGATCAGGCCAGTCCAGTGATTGGACCCATCCACTGGTTGGGCTGGTCCACCGAATCGACCAGTCCATGGAATGGACCAGTTCACTGATTGGACGAGTTCACTGATTGGACCATATGGTCCACTTTTTGAACCAATCCACTGCCAGGGAATAGAATGCATGCTGGCACTGGCCCGTCATTGTCTGTGGTTGCCTGATTAGACTTGTCCAGTGATTGGACCCTTCCAAACTGGCAGTCCACCGAATGGACCAGTTCACTGACTGGACCATGTGGCAAGGAATGGAATGCGCATAGGGCTGGCCGTAGTTAGTTATCTGTGGTCCACTGATTGAGCGCCACGTGGGCTTTTTTTTGTTGATGGACTTATCCAATTGAAGGCAAACACTTTGTTGATGGACTTGTCCAACTGGAGCAAGTGTCCTTGACTTGGTTGATGGACATACAAGTGTTCTGGGATGTGGGCCCTGAGCAAGCCCATGCCCGCCCTAAGTGAAGGCGGGCCTGAATATTCCAGAAGCAAGGGCTGCACTGGACAGTTGAGCCCAGGGCCCAGGTGGTTGCGTCCTGGGCACAAGCTGTGTGAGGCCTACACATCACGGACTGGTTGCGGGGCGATGAGGAAGCAGCTTTGTCGTCACACATGGGCGGCGAGCCAATGAGAATGCTGCAAACGCTTGGAGGCGGGGTCCAGTATCTGAAACTGGGCCTCGTCGCAGACACTTGGGGCCAGAGGCAAGCTACTGGGCCCCCACACGCCTGGTCAGGCCAGCCAGCATCAGACACACTTCCATAAGGGAAAGTGTGTGTCCCCTGGGGAGGACATTCTGGCCTGAGCAGGCATTGCGGCAACGCTGCTGCTTTGTCGTGCGACACTGCGCTATGCAGGCAGGCTGGGGCGCAGGCGGGCGCTAAGAGGCGATGTGACAAACTACTTTCTGTAAACGCGCGACTTTCTGTGCGACTGTATTTCGGGGGTTGATCAGGAGGGGCCCGCCCAATTGCATGAATGCCCCCCGTCTTTTTGAAAAAGGTTGGTCCCACGACGGTTGGTAATTGATCGCGCCTTGACAAGCACGGAAATAACTGTTGCCATAGCTTCTTTCTTGTTCTGTTAAAAGTGGGGAGGGAAACTTTGGCGTGATCATCACGCGGTAGAAATCTTTTTTTTTTGAAATTTGAAAAACGAAGGATTACGAGAATTAGGACTTCAATAGATTTAGGAATTAGGGGCATCGGGACTTTTGCTGCTGTAACTGTACGGTGCTCCTTACGCAAGCATTGCTGCGTCCTGTCCTGCGCTCTGCCCCCGCCGCGCCTAAGTTCTAATCGCAACTATAATCTCTTCTCGCTCCTTCTTGGCAAGCGCAGGTGTAACTGTAATCCTCTCCTTCTTGATCTCCTTTTTCGCGCAAAACTCTACGCCTCTTTCCTGTCTATCTCATTGGCCTGGCAGGTGCATGACTGGATTGATGATGCGTGGAGAGCGGCTACGTCCCCCATGCCGCGGCCCCATCATGCACCCATAGGCACTTCCTCCTTCCCTCTCCCTCCTACTTCAACCATAATCCGGAATTATCTCGTGCAAATACCGAATGCTGTAAATTTCGCAAGCATGACTAATTCGCTCTCTAATCTACACTTGTGAGTTAGCGCGGTCGAGAGGATCGACTAACTAGCGGAGGACAGAACATTGAGTAGTGAGTTGGGCGATCCGACGAGCTGGTGCTGGGTATGCGGGGTTGACGTGTGGCCGCGAAAGACTGTGGTACACGGGCGAACCTGGCTTGCATACTCAGGCTAAGCGGGATGACAACTTCGGATTGTTGATCGGTGCGAGGCAACGGACTGTCCGCATCGTGGGAACTGAGAGAGAGAGAGAGAGAGAGAGAGAGAGAGAGAGAGAGAGAGAGAGAGAGAGAGAGAGAGAGAGAGAGAGAGAGAGAGAGAGAGAGAGAGAGAGAGAGAGAGAGAGATGTGTTGAAGTGGTGTTATCTCTTCGCATCTTCTGTGTAATTTTGATTTCTGGTTTCGGCCATTCTGGTTTGCAGCACTCTTGGATTTTCCTTTCTTTTCTTTGATTGATGTATGAATTATCTTTCCCTCCCCCATCCCTTCCTTTTCAGCGTGGAATGTATGACGTCTGTCAAAACTGATCGATTGTTGGACGATTTGAGAGCCCGAGGGATTGTCTATCATCGAGTCGAGGAATCATGATGTGTGCGGAATAGGCGCCTTGCTGATGTATGGAAAAGATGTACGGAACCCGGCCCCTTTTTGTATGTTATGTTTCTGAGTATGTAACAGCGATCGACTGTCTATTTTTGCGCTAAACTTGTAGAAGTTGTCTCTCTCCGAACAAACCCGGGTCAGGATAAATGCATGAATAGCAGGTGGTTTACATTCTGGTCTGGACCGCCTCTGTACACACGCCTAGGTATGGAGTGGATCTCCCTAATGCATGGTCCACACGCGATTGACATCTGATGAGTGGGAATATTTTTTCTCTCTTTCCTTCTGCCCATCGAACAGCCGTCTGATTTGTACTAAATATACGGGCACCGTCCCTAAGAACAGTAGGGTTAGGCTGACTCGGATTCGGTTGGAACAGATCATATGCACGCACGTATACGAATGATCACCACAACGACAGTCATCACGTATACGCGTGTCTGCATGACCCGCCCCGGACACTACCTCTCCTTGCACGCCCGAATGTACGAGTTAAGTCTTTCTTGCAAGCGTTCCATTCTGGATCACTGATCGTGCCAGTTTAAGGAACCCTGAGTACCGGAAATATTGGGAGAACGAACAACCCTTCCGCTGATCGAACTTAAGGTTCCCGGCCTACCCCTGCCAAACTGAGGACGATCGGCTGTGTGCCTGGGACTTTCATAGGGCCATCGGACGGAATTCCTAAGTCGGAATTCCTGAGTCCCGGATTACCCCGACACCCGTAAGTACCAGTACTACATCACACCAGGATTCGTCGCCATT